AACCTCCACCTAATAAATAGAAGACACGTACGCTAAATAATCTGTGCATGCGTTTAGAGCATATTGGTTTTGTTCTAAAGAGAATAGTACCACAAGGAGAGCAAGGGGTTTCTCGAAACTAATATATAGCTTTGCGATGTTGACACCCAACTGGCGTAGATGAAACATGTTTTACGTAGAGTACAGAGGTGCCTTTCCCACTCCACCCCCACGCCTTCAGGCCCTAGTGCCATGTCGCCATAGTGCCTTAGTGCCTTAGTGCCAGGCAGCCCCCAGAACCATCTCAATAGTGCACTCTGCGCTAAAAAACAAGGTATATTTTATTCTGTTATGAAGTTACCCTTCTGAAATGTGTTTCTAACTGTTCTACTCATTAATGGACCAATTTGAACTGGGATTCCATTTCATGATGTCATCCTCTAAAACTACTCCATTACTTCGTCCAATCTATTTTGAGCTTCTCTCCATGATGATGTCATCATCCGGAAGGGGAATTACGTCACCCTACGGTAAAAAATGTCATCAAAGCCCTAACACCCCTCCACGCGATAATGGCACTATTCTATTTTAGGATTGTGAAGTCATCGTTATTGACATCATTCCCTGATGACCCACCCCTTCACCCGGCTGTCAAGTCCCTGTTCCCCTCCACTAATTTTCCTGTGCCAATCAAAATTAATTATATTCCATTTAAGGACAGTGTCTACTTAATACTAAGGTTTTCGCGCCAGGCTCCTTGCATACGGCTGACATGCATGAAATTTGAGTTGACCAATCAGGATTCAGCAGGCGGGAAAAACTGTACTGTTCTGATGTCAATGTAGGTTAACAGGAAAAACACTGAAATCAGGTAACTTTTCTCTCTGGAGATGGCATTAAAGATTCACGAAAAGGGATTTAAAATTTCCAAAACAATATCAGAATGTGAAAAGTGAAAAATATGAAACTTTTTCTGTCTCCAAGCTTCTATTTTGGCGCCAAAAATGGTCCCTGGCGTTGACTGCCATGAGAACTCGCTCGTAGTTCGTCGAGTGTCGCCAAGTAGGATAATAGTTGTCTTGTTTTGAACAAAATATGCTGTTCCTTGTCAAATTAAACCCGGAATTCTCAAGTTAACTATACCAAAGCAACGTTACCATTGTCTTTATTTTTGTTCGCTACGAAGAAAAAGGTTATTTCATGTTGTCGTTTGGATAGGACAGCTCAGTTTTGACTGCCGCTCGTACTGCGTGCGCATCTGCCGTATGTAAGGTT